CAGTTTTCCCTCTACACGTGGGTTCAACGAACACTCAAACCAATGTTATCTGGCCTCCCATAAATAATAAACATAAAAAAAACCTTTAAAGGGGGAGTAATTCTTTAAAAAACATGCAAGCAACCAAACAAAGACCTATCCAAAAGGCCTAAGAGACCAAGACATAAAACTGCTGTAATAATAACAATAATAGTAATAGCTAATACTGTGAGCGCTCTTACTCAAAGTATTAGCTGGTCTTATGTATTAGACCAGCAATTTTCAACCACAAAAATTTTAAACATGCCACACCTTACTGTTTAATCAGAGGCACTGACCTCTTTTCCCTTAGATTGTTAAATTAAAAATGACAACAGCCAACACAATAGCCATTTGGTGTGAATCAAAATTGTATGTTTTATTGCTTTCTTTCTTCTTCTTTTTTTTTTTTTTTTTTTTTTTTTTTTTTGGTCTGATCGGCACCAATATATTTTTTGGTGTGTCACAAAATTTTAATAGTTTATGTGTGCCATGATATGAAAAAAGGTTGAAAATCACTGTATTAGACATTGTACTAACTGTTTACAGTTAACTCATTTCATCTTCACAACATCCCTTTGAGGAAAGCTCTATTATTAGCAATTCTAGAGATGAAGATACTGAAGCACAGAGAGATGCACTAATCTGCCCAAGAAGAAAGCAGAGCTAGCATTCCAACCCAGACAGTCTGGCTCCAGATCCGGAGATCATGCTCTAAACCATTGCACAATACTTCTCCCTCCTCAACTTTGCTTGTCCCTCCAACCTCAGCCCAGATCCTTGTTATATCATGGATTAAAACGCACTTTCTAAGAGCTAACAATGAACAAAGCACACATGGATCATCTTCCAAAATAGGCCATAAAAACAAACAATTAAAGACCAAAAAAAATTACATAAAATATGTGCTGCAACTACAATGAAATTAAATTAGAAATCACTCATACACAAATATCTGTGTAATCCCGAAATATTTGGGACAATATAAGAGATCACATGAGATATTCAAAATACCTTGAACTGAATGAAGATAACATAACAAAATATGTAAAATGCAGCTAAAGCAGTGTTTAGACTGCAGTGGTTCTCAACCTTCCTAATGCTGCGACCCTTTCATACAGTTCCTCATGTTGGGGTGACCCCCAACCATAAAATTATTTTCGTTGCTACTTCATAACTGTAATTTTGCTACTCTTATGAATCATAATGTAAATATCTGATATGCAGGATGTATTTTCATTGTTACAAACTGAACATAATTAAAGGATAGTGATTAATCACAAAAACAATATGTAATTATATATGTGTTTTCCAATGATCTTAGGCAACCCCTGTGAAAGGGTCGTTCGACCCCCAAAGGGGTTGTGACCCACAGGTTGAGAACCGCTGGTTTAGAGGAAAATATACAGCATTAAAGATTATACTGGAAAAGAAGTAAAATCAATTATCTAAGCTTCCATTATAAGAAACTAGAAAAAGAAGAGCAAATTAAATTAAAAGCAAGTAGAAGAAAGGAAATAATATAGAGGAGAAATCAATGAAACAGAAAACTATAAAATTTATTTCTGTAGAAATCACCAAGCTAGTCTTAAAATTTTTATGGCAGCAAAGGAATTGGAATAACCAAACCAATTGCGGC